CACTCTTTCAAATCATTCTAATCAGTTATGGATTTAATTTAATCTAACAATACAAGTTTAATTAATTATATTTTATTAGAAAACTGAGCTTATATGATACAGGCACATTTGGTTCATCTTTAAATATGTAAAATAACTTGAAATATGAAAATATATTAATATTTTAACATTTCCCAAAAGCATTATTATTAAAACTAGTGTAAATGTTGAAGTATGGATTGAATTAAAATTCTATAGTTACATTCAATAAACTGGAATATATAATCCAATGAGACTTGCTTGACAAATTAAAGGTAACCCTTGATTTACAACCTTTAAGCAAGTGTTAGGTTGTGAATTAAAAACGTTTGCATTAGTCAGATGTCTTAAATTTTGTACTTTTGTCAGCTGTTGGCCAAAAAAAATCCAGAATAGAAATAAAGGTTTGAAAAAATCAGTCTTTGGGAAATTAATAATAATTTGAAACACTGGGTAAATTCAGTTTTTAAACAAACCTTTTAATAAAAAGATATGTAATAGCATGTGACTGTTTATCATTACAACGTTAATATGCTTGAATAGCTTATTTTCTTTTGAAATACAGTTTTTGAAATGACTAAATGTATTGATCTATCAATATTTACAAAAGAAAATATCAGTGTTTAAAAACAAAAAAAAAAAGTTTTTTTCTTATAATCTGTTCAGTTTCAAATGTCTTCTTTAGTTATTGAATTAGCAAAAATCAAGATGGCAATGAAGCGACCTCCCACTTTACCATAAACAGTTGCATGCAATACCCACAAGGGGGCAGCAGAGTTTAAGAAATGGCTGCTTATACTTACTGCCAGTACTCAGGTGTCAGGCAAATGTCTAAAAAAAATACACTAATTAAATATTTTATTTCATGTCCTATTATAACCTGAAAGTTGTCCTATTTCTACAATATTTTACTTAAATAAGCTTTTCTATCCACCAGCAGTAAAAGTGACCATTAAGAAAGAGGAACACAGTGAGCAATTGTACCTACAAAGAAGAGATACAAGGCAAAACATTGTTGGGACAAATAGTCAGGAATATTTACATTTTCAAATATTTGAGGAAAACTAGCTGCTCTTCATTTCCTCTTTAAATACGCTGCAAATTAAACGCACTTTCACTGCTTGAATGCATCACTATTTGCACATCCATAGTGTCCTTACAGTGAAAGTGCAGCTAATCTGAGCCGCACTGTGAATGGAGAGCTTTTTGCCCATCTGTGCAGACAGAGATGCCCCTGTGCTGTGCATCTTTGCTTGTTTGCTCTACAGTTTGTACATTTAGCCTGAGTGGGGGGGGGTTAAGGGAAAGGCATCAATGATGCATGAGGCTGTTTTGCATCCAGTAGTGCTTTCAAAAGTTATATTTAAATTTCACTTGAATGCATTATACATAGGTAGCCTTGTAAACTACTTTTAGAGTATCACAAGCTACAGGGACAGTTCCAAAACCAGTTTAAATATCCCTAATCCCAATAACACTTAAACTATTTGGTTTTTATTTCTCAGTGGGAAATCTTAAATCTGCAGCTGTTACTCACCAACTTCCATTCTTCTTATCTAGCTTCATTCATACTCTTTAGCATATTAAAATAAATTATAATAAAGCATCCCTCACTAATGAGTATCATTACGGATGGGAAAAAACTGGTGTGCTCCTGGCGAAAGGGAAACAAAGAACCATGCTGGCACAACTGTGGCCGAGATCCAGGAAAAATGTGAAAATATAGCTAATTAGTACTCCAATGCCTGATCTGGTGTGAATAGCATCAGAGGAGCCTGAAACTGTGTGTGGCATTGGTGACAAGCAGCTTTATGAGCTGAATCCTGACACCTCAAATTAGGCATGCAATTAAAAAAAAGGAGTATGAAAAAGTGAAAACTGAGCTTCAGAATATGGTTTATTTTCTCTCTAAAAATCGTAATATTCTGCAAAGAGGATGTCTGTTTTTAAGATATGCAAACAATGTAAGAGCCCATCTTAAAAAGTTAAGGGAATGAAAAAACTGAATGGAGCACAGAGGGAATAAAACACACTCATTCCAAGCTTTTTCAATACACCCCCTCCCCTTTCTCCCTTTCACACGGACATAAACAAATAGGCACAAACACACCTCGAAACAAAGGTGCCATTTTACTCAGGAAGGGTCAGCAGTTCTTCATCAGACAGGGGCTTGTTCTTGGTCCGAGGCTGCTGCCCAATCTCAGACCAGCCTCCCCTGGCTCCAACGACCCCCCACCTAAGCCCCCCAACACCACCACAACCCCTGAGACAAGCTCCCCATTGTTCCTGCACCACTAATAAATGACAGTTCTCCTGTTTAGACAAACTTTAGAAAGTATTCTAAACACACTTGAGCTGAGCTTAAATAGCGCCCTATATGCAAAGATACACAACAGATAGCTTGCATGGAGGTCTATAAACCTCCAATCCGACAGTAATGATGGGAACATTTGTTCTTCTAATACAAACTTTCAACAGGTATATGACATGATGCAATTCTTAATTTGTTTTTGCAAAATAAAATAAAAAAATCATCCTAAAAACTGTTAAATAAAGGTTAGAAAATAGTCTTAAAAACAAAGCTCAGGTGATGTAGCATTCAATAACCTCGTTCAAAGTCAGGAAACCAGACATGATAAGCTCATAAACACAACATTAACACACCACACCACAGCAACTCTATCTGTTTGCCTAAAGCACAATGCAAGGGGGGCTATTTTTCCCTCTTTGAGCCTGTATTAGCATGCCCAAGGGGTGGGGTACCTCACTGTGGCCACTCTGAAGTTTACTACAAGGTTTGAATTACCTGTTCATAAAGTTACAAACACTTAAGGGTAGGGTAAATCCCTGGATCAATTAAGTATTAACTTTTGGTAGAGTATAAGAGGAATGGAATATCATAATTCAAGTAGCAAAACTGTATAATCAGTCAATTCTACTAAAATATGAGACAACAGATTAGTCATATTTCACGAATAAGTGCAGATCAAGAGAAATGTCCACTAAATTGGTTAGCAAATAAAAGCAAGGCTGTTATACATCTGATGTGGTTCACCACAGGTATATCATATCACAGTGCAGAACGCTCGTACAAAGTGAGTGAAGAGAAAGTGAATTCCAGCAATACAATCCTCGACTATACATTCAAACAGAGATGAGTCTACAAATGGACATTTTCATTCCAAAAACAGATGACCATATGAGTCTGAGCGAGCAGGGATCACACCAACAGACACATTCCCGCTCCGCTGTTTAAACCACAGAGGCAGAAGGAGGGAACCAGAGTTGTGAGAAGAAGAGTAAAAAAAAATCTTCTGTTTAGTCAAAGCCTGCTCACTGACACAGTCTGTCTTTGTCTGCCTCCCAGGGTGCCAGATAAAGGAATTCTTGTGTGTCGGGGGGCTATGACCGAGTTTATTTGACACTTCAGCCCCCTTTGTGCAGTGAGTGTCCCACCGTCAATGCTGGCCATGAGAGTCACTTGGCATTAGACAGAGAGTCCCTCTTCAGCAAAGAAAGGGGGTCTTGTTTGGAGAAGATTTTTAATACAAGGGGTGGATGGAGGGTGATAAGTTCTCTTACTCTATGCATGCATACAGTAGGGCTCTTTTTATAAGTTTTAACACTAGGTGGATTTTTTGATTTTCATTTTTCTGATGAAGTGTGAGAGAAGTGAAAGCACACCTGCAGTGTCAGGTAGAGGTGCTGTAGCCAGACATAATGAGAGTCACTTAACAGGAGAGGAGCATCCAGACACAACCAGGTTACTGTAACCTGAATGGAGTCACTGTAAAGGAGGCGGAGGCTCACAGAGACCCACTCTGTGCATGCATTTATTTTTGTTGTAAGCGATCTTTAACAACCTGTAACAGGTTAGAGCTGAGAAGTTAAACAGGTGCATGGCTGCACCGTATTAAGGGTTGAATTTTAAAAATTGTCTATCTGACTACATCAAATGCCTCAATCTGTTATAAATTGATTACATATCTATCCATAACAGCCTCTGTACTTTAGAAAAGGTTAGCCTGAACATCACATACACTATAAATATTAATTCTGGTAGGCGTTACAGCCATTTAATTAACTTATTTATTTATTTTTTATCATCTAAGCATACTAGCTGGTAAATTAGGTTGTAATACTAAAAAAAATAATTGGTTTATTTTGATAAAAAAAATCCCATTTTTTAGGTAGTTTCATGCAATGTCCAACAGAATATAGTAAAGCTGATGTGATATTGCTTGAATTATAAATGAATATTAATTAACGAATAAAAACAGCAATTAAGTTTTCTTTTGGGGGACTTTCTGTGATAGGGTCAGAGTTTAAATTAGCATTTTTCTTTAGCAAAGTTAGCAGCAGTGCTAATGCTGGTATCAAACATAACAGCAATAATACCAATGCAAAATAACAGCACATCTGTGGTTGTTATAAATCATGCCTATATGTAATTTTGATTGTTGAAGTAATAGTTAAAACCTGACCTGTTTCAAAAACACATTATGTCTTAAGCATTTGTATGTTTATTTTGCAAATCATGGGAGAAAACAAGAACAACCAGAATCATTCCCCCTCCCTCCAAAAGAAAATAAATAACAATAAAACAGTTGGATTTTAACTTTTCAGATGTCTTTTTGCTGTTAGATTTATATATATTTTCTATATTTTAATTTTGGAAAAATTAAATTAATGATTAAATTCTAATAGTTTTATCATCCCAAATTTTAATTAGGAATCCCATATTGGAATTTTATCTTAAGGAGCACTTTGGTTGAGAAAAAAAATGTCCAAAAGGGTGTGTTAGGAAGATAAGGATGAAACCTTTGACCAAAACAGACACTCTGGAAATAATAGATTATTCCAAATAGAGATCCATTGAAACAGCTGGTCCATTGTTGACCAAATGAGGTAACAGAGGGGGAAAAACGCACTTTAATAAATAAACATTTTACTGCGAATAAGCAAGAAACTGACTTACATACCTGATTGATGAGGAGAGTCACACTGACCATAACAGTCACTGGACATCCAATTAAGATAAGCTTTCAGTTATACTCCAGTATATTTCCTTATACTTTTTTTCCTCATGGTAAGTCCAAATCCACAAGTATGTATAAGTTGCATATATCCAGAAAAGTAAACATCTTCTTATTGACCACACTAGAGCAATGCGTGTATCCCAAGAGAATGGAGTGTCCAACAGCAGCAGCAAGACAGGAGCAGATCCAACTCATCCTGGGAAACATAAATCCTCTTTTTCATTCAAAACGATCCATAGTTTTGTTGTGTTTTAATCCATCAGCTGGTGCGAACAGATGAAAGCAGAAGTTTTCCACACGTGTCAGCGCTGAAAAGTAACAAGTTTGTTTTAACCCCTCTTTTAAGCTTGTTATATATAGGAATCCTTAACCAGAATGGATCCAGGAGATTATTTCCGATCAGGACTCAAAGATGCTGGATCCTCCAATCGCTCAGTGCGGTGATGTTCTCCGTTGCTGCTCCGCTGTTATGATTCTCCCCCGTGAAGAGCCGCAGCTTCAATGAGCCATAGTTTGAAAGAGCAGAGCGACACACGCTCCCCTCAGCTCACGTAACTGCGCGTTGCATTATGGTAAATGGAGTTAGTTACAAACTGAAAAAAATAC